TCACACACACACACACACACACACAATAATTATACAAAATGCTTATCACAGCTCAACACGCAATGAAAACTGGTAAACTGGTCACTCTATCGGTGCAAAACCTGGTCGACTGTCCAGTATACCGTTTATATAACATGAGCACCTGTGCGACCGGTAATTACATGCATCACGCGTTTGAGTACGTGATGGCCAACGGCATCGACACCGACCAGAGCTACCCATACATCGACGGCGATAACTACAAGTGTCTGTACGACAAGCGGACAGTTGGGGCCACAATCAGCGGTTATGTGAACATCACATCCGGCGATGAGCTGGAGATGCAGAGGGCTGTGGCCACTGTCGGACCCGTCACTGTCGGCATCGACGCCACGACCGATGGCTTTCGGTTTTATAAGTCGGGCGTATATAAGGACACCAAACATGAGTGCAAAGGCCAGTACTTCGATGAGTTGCACCACGCGGTCACTGCCGTGGGTTATGGCACGGAAAACGGGGTCCACTATTGGCTGTTGAGAAACTCGTACACCACTAAATATGGTGATCAGGGTTATATGAAGATGGCCAGAAATAATAATAATCAATGTGGTGTGGCTACCTATGCTCTCTATCCGACCGGGGTTAATTAAAATGATTATGATTTTGTTTAATAGATTAAAATAGATTTAAATACTTTATTTCGTAATGTTTAAAAATACAAAAATATTATTACAATCATAAATAAAAAGTATTTAATGATTTCTAATTTGAAATGTGTGTTAATTTGTTTTCTATCTATTTTCTTATATAAACTTTACTTTAAATATGGTTAGATTTAATCTATTATATCCCGATCCTTATCATCATGTGATTAAACAAACAGTATTTTATCAAATAAATTAATTGTTTATTAAATTGTTTTTAATTAATAATAATATTTAATAAAAATATTAAAGAAATACAATTCATAATTATGAAAAACATAATTTATTTGTAAATTAGCTAAAAATATTATTTAAAAGTTATACAATTAAATGAATAGTAAAATAATTAAAATATTTTATTCAAAAGGAAAATAAATATAAATAAACTCAAAATAAAACAAAATTTTTAAATAATATTTGAATTACTATCCGTTAATTGTAATTAATGTCAATTTGGAAAATACTATTAGTTAAACAATAAGTTATTACAAAAATTAAATCCAAATTATTTACTATAACGCGTGAAATTCTTGTAAACCAAGACATTAATGGCCTCTAGTTTAGCACTTTTGGCCAACAGATCATTGAAATGTTTGGCATTTAGTTGAATGGGATGTTGACTATCAATTGTCAGACTCTGGAGAACCGGTAGTTTTGAGATGTGATCCAAACACTGGACATCAATCCATCCGTTGGTGCCGTCGATCACCAGATGTCTGAGTTGTGGTAAATATCTCTCAATATCTGCCAAACAATTGTAATTCAATCGCCAGATATATAACGTTAAGTGCGTTAACCGTCGGCAGTGTTTTAAGGCGGACATCAGTTGCCAATCCAAGTCGTGATGAGCTCTGAAGTTAAGTGAAGTGATCGTTAGAGACAACCTCTTGAGTCTCGGAAAGTATTGCATTGAATTCAATGTCAGGATATTTATTATCTTAGAGTTTGAATGGGATTTGAGTGAAAATTTTGCCAATTGTTTGCAGTTTTGGCTAATTTTACGCAAACCATCGCTAAGATTGTGATCGTTGGGAAAGTCGAGACACAATTCACGCAATTTTGGCAATTGATCCACAAATTGAAAGACCAACTCTTGTGTCTTAATTGTCGTGCATCTCATCGACAGACTCTTCAGTTGCGTATTATTTGCCACAAACGTAGCCATCATTTGTCTCGTCAAATCTGATCTCAACTCACATTTAAAATGTAGTAAATTATTGATAAAAACTTCTGTTTCGCCGATAAATATGTCGGCCATTGAGTCGACCGCCAAATGAGACAATCGTTTGCATAGAAACAGATTATTTTTGTTCGCCGGATACAAACAATTGACCCTGGTGAACATCATGGTCAAATTATGCGAATACTTATAGTCAATTAAAGTCATTGTGCAATAAATGTCTCGTAAATAACGACAATTGCCTTTCAAAGAGTGTATCAATGCTTTCACATAACGGCTGTTAAAGCTTATGGACTGACAGTCAATGGTCTGAATGTTTGGACACTTTTTTGCAATTTTGTTCAACAGTTTTGAATTGAAATTTTTGTAACGGAAGAGTGCTTTGACGACATTGTCTTCCATTTCAATGATGGTAATTGTGGTGAAGACTGTCCTCTGGAACTGTTTCGACAGACATTCGCAACGGAATCGGTCTTCGAGTGAGAGATAAGACAATAGAAGTTCACACAAATCATCGCCGAAACGATCCAAAGAGTCTTTTGCATACATTTTAGACATTTTATGACAAACTTTTAATTGAGTTGTTTTTAAAATCACTTATTTATCACTAATTTATAATAAAAGTGTTGAAACTTTGTGTGATTTGAATTGAGTTTGAATTTGTTTGAAACACTTGTGACTCGGAATGCAATGAATCTGTTATTTATATATCATTTCAAATGTGTTTTCAATGTTTAATCCTTTAATCCATCAGTCATTTGATATATAATCCCAAACCCTATCATCATTTGATCAAAACAAACAGTTTTATTAAATCAATTAAATTGTTATTTAAATATAAATAATTACTGGATTTGAATTATTTAAAAATTAATAAATAACTATAATAATTAAATTAAAAATACTTATTGAGAGTTTGTATGAACATCAATTATTTATTTATTTATTTCAAATATAAAATCACATTAATTGAATAACACACTGTTTTAATAAATAATTTCATGATCATAATTTATTTTACTTTGTAGATTAAGTTTGTGAAATCCATTTATTATTTACATTTCTTATCCACTAATCTATGGTTAGTATATCGCAATCCTTATCATCATGTGATCAAACCAACAATCTTTTATCAAATCAATTAATTTATTATTTATTAAATTGTTGTCTTAAATATTAATTAAAAAACATTATAAAAAAGAAATACTATTATTTTTATAATTAAAAATTATTTAATCATTATTTGACACAATTATTCAATTTGAGGTGATTTTTTATTAAAATATTTATAATTTATTTATAAATATAATAATTTGAAAGAAAATATTAAAGAAATACAATTTATAATTATGATAAACATAATTTACATTTAATTATTTCACTAATTATAATTAATTTTCTGGTTATTAATTAAATAATGCAAATAAATTACTATTTAAATAGTTTCATATACAAATCTTGGTTAATCTGAGAAATTAATGATTTATAGCGATTAAAATCTCTACAATGCCAGTTATTATAGACTTTAATGGCCTCGAGTTTAACACTAGTGGCCAAAAGTTGTTTGATATACTGGTCGGTAATCCAATGGCCCGGAGCTATAGCGAGTGTCCGGAGGGCCGGCAGTCTTGCGATGCGATCAAAATAGTCGGCTTCAATGTAGCCGTTGTTTCCGTTGATTTCCAAATGTCTAACTCGTGGTAAATGTTTGTCGATATCAGCGAAGTATATGGATATCAATCGATTGATGTCTAGCTTTAAATGCGTTAACCGTTGGCAGTGTTTGAACGGATCCACCAATTGATAGGGAGTCCAGGGTTGATAGAGAGTGTGATCACATGAACTGATCTCATGAAGAGATAATCTCTTCATCGCCGGAAAGTATTGCATTGAATGCAGAATTTTGATATTTATTACATCGTTGGGCGAAACGAGTGATAGTTTACGCAATTGTTGGCAATTTTGACCAATTGTTGGCAAATTGTCTATTAATTTGTGATCGTATGGAAAGTCGAGACACAATTGCTGTAATTCTGGCAATTGATCCACAAATTCAAAGACAATTTTCTGCATCTCTTTTGCCCCGCATTTGAGTGAAAGACATTTCAAACTCATATTATTTGCCACAAACTTAGCCATCATTTCTCGATCTAAAGCCAACTTTACATTGAATTCAATTTTATGCAAATTTTTAGCAAAAATATCAGTTTTGCGGATAAAATCATTGATCTCTAAATCGAGGTTAGGATGACATGCTTTGTGGCTGTCATCAAAATAGCCATCGTTTTCATTGCTTTCAACACAATTAACTCGTGTGAACATTGGTGTCAATACACTATCATAATCTTCATTAGTGTAATCCAATTCACAATAAATTTCAGTCAAATGCTGACAATTTTGCCGTAGATTTTGGATCAATGTTTTCAAATGACAATAATTAAAGTCTACGGACTGGCAGTCAATGGTCTGTAGGTTTGGGAACTTCATTGCGATTGTTGTCAATATATTTGTATTAAAATACTTTCGTTTGAAGAGTTTTGAGATGAGTTCGTAATTGATATGAATGGTTGTGATTGTGGTGAAGACTGTTCTCTGAAACTGTTTGGACAGACATTCGCAACGGAATCGGTCTTCGAGTGAGAGATAAGATAATAATATTTCACACAAATCATCGCCGAAACGATCCAAAGAGTCTTTTGCGTACATTTTAGACATTTTTGAATTAACTTTAAATTGAATTTATAATTAAATAAAATATTATTACTTATTTATCACTAATTTATAGCTAAAATTGTTGAAACTTAAAGTATTTTGAAGTGATTTTGAGTTCGTTTGAAACACTTGTGACTCGGAATGCAATGAATCTGTTATTTATATATCATTTCAAATGTGTTTTCAATCCTTTAATCCATTTGTTATTTATTTTGTTTGTTTGAAACATTGTTGCTTGGGCATTCAACTTGTTGTTTATACTCTCAATAAATCTTAAGATATTTTAAATGCGTTAATCTGTCATCAGTTTATCACAGCATTGATTAAACAATTGATTATTGAATTAAAATTAGAAAAGTTTTTAACATTAATTATTTATTAAATGTAAATAATTNATGAAGAGGCGGACAGAGGTTTGCATACATATAGACTGGGAGTGAATCAGTTCGCGGACATGACTGCAGAGGAATACCGGCGAGAGAGAGAGAGAGAGAGAGAGAGAGAGATTATTATATCCATTGATATGTAGACTTACCTTCAATGGTATCGACTGAACTGAATGCCCAACACGAGGGACACTGTATATGTATTGCAAACAAAATTAATTAAACTAGCCTAGAAAATTTTAGTAAATAAACAAAAACGTGGTAATTATGATGATACACGTACCCCACCCTGATTCTTAACGGGTGTAATTACACCTTTGGTCCGCCAGTCGACCGTATCGGGCAGTCCGGAGACATCGACGGATTGTTTGTTAACATTAAGGCTATTTTGATGTCCGGATAATGCGCTCAAATCCAATGTATTTGTCTGTCGACGGTATTCCTCTGCAGTCATGTCCGCGAACTGATTCACTCCCAGTCTATAGGTATGCAAACCTCTGTCCGCCTCTTCATTATGGCTGACAATCCGTCGATAGTTTTGCTCAAAGATCTTCTTCCGGATCTCCTCTTCAGTCGACCCACTCTTGTATTCATTGCTTCGGAATTCAGTCTTTAATAATTGGCATTAAATTTAAAGTACTTTATATTTATTTTTAAATAAATTTAAT